TGTGCGGGACGCGCGGGCCCCGCGGCGCCCGGCGAGGGGCCTCTCGCTCCGCCCGCGGGGCTCGGGCCTCCCGGGGGCGCGCAGCTGCCGGGGCCGGGCAGGGCCGGCGCTCCGGAGCCGCTTTCTCTAGGCAGCGGGGACGGCGCTGCTGGCGGAGCCCGCGAAGCTGCGCCGAAAGCGCGCGCGGAGCGGCGGCGTGGAAGCGGCCAAGCGGCCCGCGCGGGAGGGGAGGCGGCTCCCGGGCCGCCCGGACAGCCACCCCGCGCCCCCTTTTTGCCCTGGTGGAAGGAAGCGGTGGGGGGTCAGGAGGGCGGCCGTGCCGCGGGGCGCCTTCGGATGGCCGGGCCAGGCCGATGCTTCGCCGGAGACGCGCAGCCGTGGCCGGCGCCGCGGAGCGGGAAGCAGCCTGGCCGAATGCAGCCGGCGAGCCGGAGGCAGAGCGGGGGCCGGGCGCGCAGCTGCTCCTCCATCGGGCCAGCTCGGGCAGTGGGGTCGAGGAGAGCCCCTCTCCAGGGCCGCCGGGCCGGTTCTCGGCAAGGTGGCTCCCTGGTTCTGTGGTGCCGAGCCGGAGGGGGCTGCCCAGCGACTGCAGAAGGGCCAGGCCGGCATCCCCCAAGTGACCTTCCGTGAGCCACGGTCCCAGATGGGCACCGCTCCTCTCCAGGGCTGCCCTGTGTTCCAGTGCACACTCAGCAGAGTAAACAGGTGTGGCTTGGCTTGCTTACTCTTCACCCAAGGGCCAGTCCTTAGCAAACAGACCCGGAGAGGGAGGGGCCGCCTCGGAGGCAGGAGCAGGAGACTGTTCCGATCTGCAGACCACCGAGCTGGCCCGGTCTGCAACCCGGCACTAAAGCAACAGCCTTGGAGGGGCTCTGGCCAAGGGGCTCCTCCGGTGGGGTAGCCACCCCTCCTCTGCACCCCACCAGCACTTCCTCCTTGTGCCACATCGCAGCTGCAAAAGCCAGTGGGCCGTGCAGCGCTGCCGCTGGAGAAGCGCACTGGGTTCCTGCCCGGGGCCCTGGACTTCGCGGCCAGCCCCCTTTGGATCGTGGCCGTGCAGTGGGAGCGAGGGGGGGTTCGCTGAGCAGCGCATCTTCCCCGGTCGGTGGGCTCCTCCACAGATCAGAGGCTTCTGCAGAATCCCGCCCCGTCCTCTGTGCCCAGGTCTGGAGAGCCACGCGACATCACGTGGCTCGTGGCAGGCCAAGGGCGTGAGCCGGAGCTCGGCACCGTTCCCTTGAGTCCGTCAGGTCAAAAGTAAATACCAAGGAAAGCAAATGTACGGTTCTCACAACCTGCTGAAAGCACTGGAGCCTACCTTTACGGCATGTCGTGAGTGGAGCTGGCTGGAGCTGGGGGCCAGACTAGATGGCCTGGGAACCCTTCTGGCTCACTCTGTTTCTGTGTTCATGGAGAATTACTTGATGGAGCCTGCAGTTTCCTGCTGGAATCGAATTCAGGACCCGAATGCAGACATTCACCTGTCTGGCGCGATTCACACCGTCTCGTGCACCACCCGGCGACACGTCGTCACACGGCCCTGAGCCGACTCCACCAAAAGCACTCAAAGCGGTCCGCTGAAGCAGAAGCGAAGGGGCAAGAAGCATCTGTCCAAGGTGCTGGATTTGCGGTCGCCCCTCCACAGGCGTGAAGGCAGGAAGTCGCCCGTGTCACCAAGAGGACATGCCCGATGGATCAGAGAGATGCTCTCTGCCTGCTCCGATTTCCATCAGCCAATTTATTTAGTTTAGCAAGAAGGCACCGGCGGGGGGAGGGGGTTGCCCTGGAAGGAGCATTCAGAGAGGGGTAATGCAGAAGGCGGGTCTCTCCCTGGCCCAGTCTGGCCATCCCGGGTAGCCGTGTGGAAAATGCCCCCCCTAAGTGGAATTCGGGTCCACCCAGCCCAGAAATTAGCGTGGATCTTTTTAATTGACCGCCCTCCCCCTCCTTCCTGTTGCAAGCGAGGAGGATGCCAGTCTTGGGCAACGGCTGTCACGGACTAATGGCTGCACCCCAGACTGCCTGGAACGAGAACCTGAAAGAACACGAGCGAAACTGCGGAGGCTGGGCCACGCGTGATGCTTGGCTTAGGGGAATTGTAGCACAAGGGCCAGCTCTCGCAGTCTCGTCCCGGGAGGAGGTGCGCTGCTGGCAGACCGGCCCCCCTCGGGATGCCCGGCCCGCCCGGCCCAGAAGGCCTCGTCACGCCCCTCGCTCCTTCCTCCTGCAGGTACGGAAGGAGGGGCGCCTCTGCGGAGCCGCAGGGGGATCATCCAGCTGGCGGGGGCCGTTCAGTGCGCCACTGGCCACTCGGCGCTCGCCTACGTGCGCTACGGGTGCTACTGCGGACTGGGAGGCAGCGGCTGGCCCACCGACAAAGTCGACTGGTAAGACGCAACCTCGCGGCCTATTTTAGGTGCCAGCACCCCCCCCCGAACAAATGCCGCTTTTTGGGGGGGGAAGCTTGCAAGTTGCTCCCTACTGGAGCAAGAGGAGGGAGCACAGAGGGCCACGCAGCCAGCTGTGCAGTGAAAACCAGCCCCCCCCCCGTGGCTCCCCAGCGTGCCTGAAAGTTACGGTATTACAGGACAGAACGGGGAACGCTTCTGGAAATGCCGGGGTGCCCGAGGGTTTTCAGGGGCTCCCTTGCCTCCTGCTCTTTGCAGTACAGACCTTTCTGCTCAAGTAATGCCAAACACGCACTGCCAACTGCGACAGAGGCGCACGCTCGCGGACTGCTCTGCCCGTCCCGAACGAGAACGTGCAAACATGGACGAACGCACCATCTTGAGAGCAGGCAGAACTCCCAGCCACGCCTCGCGCACAAGCTTTCGGTGACAGAGAAACAGCATCTCCGCAGTCGGAAAGACTCGGGATGCCGGCAGTCGCAGTTCTGGCTGGTGACCGCTGCCCTATTTTAAGCTCCGAAAGCCATTCTCTGCTGCTTCCGGCGGCTTGCGGGAAGAGGCGGCTCCTTTAATTGCAGGGCACAGCTGGGGTGGGGAGGGAGGCCTCCGCTGGCACCGGCTCTCCAGCAATGAGTGCCGAAGCTTCCCTCGGCTTTGGGCGGCATGGTGGCAGTCGGGGGGGGGGGGGCGCTTCAGGGGGGCACAGGGGGGACCCCAAGGTTCGGGGGGGGCGAGGGTGCTCCGGAAGCCGGTGGCGGCGAAGAGCAGCCGCGCGAGGCTCCGGCCGAGGGGCCGTGCAGCCCGCTCAGACACGCTTGCCCATGCCGCCAGGTGCTGCTTCCGGCATGACTGCTGCTACACGAAAGCGGAGGAGGAGAGCTGCGCGCCCAAGATGGAGGGCTACAAGTGGGAGTGCGAGGGCAACGAGGCCAAGTGCGGTGAGTCCCGTCGCCCCACCCCTCCCGGGGGAGCTCTGCTGCCCGGTGGCGGACACTTTCCGCGGCCTCCCGTTCCGTTTTCGGCCCACCTGAGTTCCCTCGTAACGTTTGATCCTGGGACCAAGAGCGAGGAGGAACTTCTCAAAACAGCCCGATTAAGATAGGGAACAGGAGGGAGGGAGATGGGTGAATGCCGGGGGGGGGGGGGCAGGCGTAGCGGTATGTGCTGACCCTGCGCAGATCGACGGCAGGGGCCTGGCGTCAGCACCCCCGGCACGGCTGACTGCTTTCCTCTGCAAAGCCCGGAGGGATCTGCAGCAGCCACAGGCAGGAGCTGCGTGGGCTGGCCTACGGCTCCCATCGCCCACAGCCAGCTGGGCAGTCGGGCCACGGGTTGCTCTGGTTGAAACGAGCGGCTTCAGGAAAGTGTCACGTGCGTCCTGCTCTCCTTCCTCTTTCCTAGACGATGTGGACCACGACTGCCAGAAGATCATCTGTGAATGCGACCGGGAATTAGCCAGGTGCCTGGCCAAGGCCCCCTACAACGCCATGTACATTTTCTGGCCAGAAAGCTCATGTGGCGAGCGGAGCCCCAGGTGTGAGGATGACTAGGGCGGCCGGCTGGCGTGGGCCCCACAGCCGCTCGCCGTCTCGGCCACACTTGGCAGCCGCCTCCCGGTGGCAACTACCCGTTTCTTCGGTGTGGCCGGTTGCGTGGCAGCGACCTCACTGCCGGCACAGAGCCCACGGACGGCGGGGGCCCTGCACTCTCCAACGCTGCACACCCTGCCCCTGTCGTGTTAAAATAAAGGTGACCGAGTGTTGCCCCAGTGTGTGCTGCAGCTTCATCAGCCGGAAAGGCGAGCCCCTGTGCACGCAAGGGGAGCCAGCTCCGCCAAGGAACGCTCGCGCCCGCCTCCGCGGATCTTGCTTTGCGCAGCCCAGCCCAGCCCTGGTGCTCTTCCAGGAGGCCTCAGCCCACAGTACGCTTGCGGCCCTTTTATCGGCCCGTTCCTGCTTGGTGGCGCCTCCGTCACGGTCTCTTTTCAGTACATGGCGGAGCGCGACCTGAGGGAAGGCGCATTACGATCAAATGCACCGCAGAGGCTGTGATGTTGAGCGCACGGCCGCACCAGGGCGAGCCGCCACACTGCGGCAGGGGAAGGCGTAGGGCAGGCCTGTGAAACGAAAGCGCGCAAGGTTCAGCTCCGGTCAAGAAGGCCTTGCCTTCCAGAAGCTGGCAGGCGATGGATGTGGTGGTGTGCAGAGGGCTGGGCTTGAGCTGAGGAGGACGTGGCCAGGACGCTCGCCGGGTGGCGCGTGGCCGGTCAGGATGGCTCAGCACACCCACCTCCCCAGACGCTTGTAAGGAAATAAAGGGGGAGGCAGAGAAGAACACCGTATGATCCAAGCATCTTACCACTAGTAAGTATTGGAAAACAAATCTTTGTTTAATTCGTAAAAATGTTAATAGGCAAATCTGAAGATCATATTGATATAAATGCAGAGTCTAAGGGTTTTTTTTTATGGACACCACATTTAACAGGAACATAATCTCAGTTTGGCAAACATTTAACCGATGGCAGTAAAGGTGGCATTTTATGTCTATACAAAAACCACCATTCCACAGTCGATATTTACATGCAGGACACCCTTAAAAAAATAATTGTGGTTGCCAAAGAGACCTAGAAAACTGACACAGCATGAGAAACATTTGCCAAAGGACAGAAAAGTTGGCAGGAGAGAAGGGGGGCCAAGCCAGAGCTGAAGCAGGCCACCTGTTTACTCGACAGCTGCTTGAACACCAACTTCTTTCACGACACAGCCCTTCCGACGAAGCCCGACTGTTTGGAGATTTTGTCGTGCTTCAGAAGGGGGCTGCCACGGCCACCTGGCCCCCACCCCCAAGCAAGTGCTCTGACTATAGTGAGATTATCACATGTCTCCCCAGGGAAAGCGCATCCCCTCCCACTTGCTCCAGCCCTTGCTGCAGAAAGGGGGGGAAAAAAGCAAATACGCTGTTAATCGAACAAAAAAACCCATCAGCATGACTATCGCAGGGAGAAAAATGGCTTTCCATCAGATGGCCCAGGACTTCACACACCAGCAAGCTGCTCTCAAGCCGCCCATCAAAGCACCTGTGTTTCCAGGCGACGCGCCTCCTTCACCACCAGGTCGATATTGATGATCGGATTAAAGTATAAGGCCCAGTAGAAGAGGCAGTTGCACACAAACTGAGGAATAACGGGCCAGAAAAGCACCATCAGGAAGCCCTGGGTTGAAATCTTCCAGAAATGGCTCCACATTCGGTGAGGAATTGTCCTGAAGGGGGAAGGGAAAGAGAGTAGATGGAAAGTGATCTTCAACGCTGCACCGTCTAACTTGACCTCCAAACCCCTTTTTGGACTTGTGCACAGACTGGACTTGGAGCGTCCGTTCAATAAATGCTTCACAGACCAGAGCAAACGATCCTAGCGGCCCGTCCGCAAAACACGCCTTTGAAATGTTTAGCTCTAAGCAAGCTCAGCGTGAAAACTGAGAAGAGGGGAGCAAAGACCAAAGCCAAGCGGGGACATTTTCAAGGGGCTCGTTGGACGCAGACGTTCCACTCGTGCCCACGTGGCAGGGGTACTGCCCTGTGCAGTCTGTGCTGCAAATTAGTTTGTGGAGACACTTCCGGGCCCCCTGGATCCCTCCTGGACTCCAACTATTCTGGCACAGGGCTGGACGAACTACTGCTGCCCCTCAGCAAGAGGCCGGGAGAAGAGCTGTGAGCGCAGGACCGAAAAGGCCTCGTCCGCACGCCGTGCACGACATGAGGGGGGGGCTTGGAACATGACCTACGGGCGGCTGCAGCCCTTTCCTCCCCGCAGCTGCGAGGCGGCTAGCCTGGATGCCGCGAACACTGAAAGACGGGAAGGTCGGACTCCAACTTACTTCAGTTCCCTTCGTGACCACAGCCTCCAGAAGGAGAACAGCTCCAGCACGGACAGAAGCATAGCGTTGACGATGATAAAACGGGAGGTCCAGTAGTGCACCTCTAGCCAATCCCAAGCAAATTCTGCAATTAGTTGGTAAGGCAGGAAAGAGTATTTCACAAAGAATTCCCGCCACTGCTTCCATGCAGGCTCCTTCAGGTCCTGAAGACAGAATTGGGGGTGGGAAAAGGCAGTGAGTACCTTGGGCTCAGATCAGAGGGTCCAGATCACACCCATCACGTTGGTACTAAAAGGAAGAGCAAAATAGATTCTGTGCATGGGGAAATGGGCAACCCACGTCTCCCACGAGGATCACTGGAGTGTGCGCATCGCTCCGCTCGCTCTCACTTCAGCCCAAAGTGACGGCATCGCTCAGGAAGCTGGAGGACAGCGCCCGGTCCCATGCAAAAAATATACACATGCCGGTTCAACCGGGTGCTTAGCGTGTTCATGCTGGCAACAAACCGCTGCCTCCTTCCGCAGCTCTATCTAGAACATGATACGCAGAATTTAACCCTACAGCTTTTGGGACTCAAAACTTCTTTCTGACTCATGGTTTCCGAGGAGCAATTGTGGCAGGCAGGCAGGCAGCCCCCTGGGACAAATGCAGTCTGCAGATCAGTTACTGCCACTTTCAGTTTCTGCTGGGGGCCAGCCAACGCCTAGAACAAGTAAACGTGCAGGAAATGCACCACGTGTCTTCAGAGCACGACTGATCTTTGGGTGCAGCTGCTTCCTGTCAATTAGCACCCGAGGCTGCAGGTGGGCACTCTCCTGCGCCAGCGTTTGTCTGCCTAAAAGGCTCCCTGCAGGCAGAAAAATAGCAGCTCTTCTGGGGAAGACGCGCGTGCGCCGCCTTCTCCCTGAAATGCTAGCTTTCCATTTGTGGGAATCTGGAAGAGTGCTCAGCTTTGCCTTCTGTGAGAATGAGGGATGCTCCTCCCTATCTTCAAACCACGTGGGGCGGGGCGGGGCGGGTGTCCATGTGGCCATAAGCACAGGGAGAGAGACACATGGCACGTGAACAAGGTGCCTTGGCAGGCACGGTCCGGAGCATCACTGGACGGGCCGCCACCTCGACCCCTGGCCGGGCCCAGAGGCCCACTGCCACGTCTCCTGCTTCCACCCTCGGGATTAAGAGCCTGGCCCTGGGCTTCAGCCACCGGGGAACACAGGAGGTGAGGCAGCCCTTCCTGAGCGGCATCCTGCCTTCGCTACCATTGCAGTGGGAAGCCATTTAGAGAGGGCAGAGAGAAGGACTTTAATACAATGCACTTCAGCAGCTGGGGTGATGACGAAACACGCCGACAGGTGTTGGGCAACCCACCTGTGGTCAGCATCTTTGCAGGATCCATCACCGTTTAGTGAACCTCATGGCTATTTTGGATGCCGCTACCTTCCGTTCCTAATGAGCAATCGCAAAGCGCTGTGCCGCTCATAAAAACTGAGGGAGTCAGAAGGCTCCCCCGGGGTCATCTAGTCTGACCTGCGGCTCCAGCCGGCTCCGCTCATGACGTGCCCACCATTCCCGATTCCCACACACCCTTCTGGCGAGCTCTGAACCCTTACCAGCAGCTTCGCGAGCATGTCCTCGAACTCCCCCTCCTGCACAGGACAGATGGTGTGGATGAAGGGGAGGAAGACGTCGGTGTAGTCGAACAGGTACAGGTAAAGCAGCGTGAGGCGAGGGGAGCCCTTCAAGGCGTACAGCAGGAACAGGGACTTCCCAGGATGCACCGCCTGGAACGCAAAGACACCCGTTTCACAAAACAGAAGAGGAAAGTGGCTTCTGCTGAACAATGGTCGGCTCTGCCCCTCCCCGCTTGGGTTTTTGCCCGTGCTTGGCCCTCGCAGTATCTGTCCGGAGGAGGAGATCGCAGCAGGAAGGATGCCTAGACAAGGCCCGTGTAGCAAAGCGGGACCGGTTCCCCTCGTCTCCGTCTTGGTGCGTCAGACGGGTCACAGCAAGCTTTGGGCACCATCTCAGTCCGCGAAATACGAGGGAGCGCGCCCAAGGCCGTGCGGCGGCACTTGCCGAGTGGCCCTCGCGGCGGGGCCCCTCTGCCCCCGACTCGCCTTGTACTCCCACAGGTTCTGTGGCGGCTTCATCCCCAGGACTCTCACACGCTCCAGCTCCATCACGATGGCCTTCCTGTGGCTACTGTTCTCCACGGAGTAAGGAGCCCTTGCCAGGTCCTCACTGGTCAGTGTTAAAAGGAGCCTGCAAGACGAAGAATGGTCAGCGAGGATGCCCTCCCTGCTGCCGGGCCACAGCCAGGCACGTCCAGCGGCACGTGTGCCTAAGAGACCGACGGAAAGCACGGCTGCCTAGTCTACAATCTGGACACGCTCCGAGCGAGACAACTAACAGGGGTCTACACCTAAGAGACCAGCTAATGGCTGAAACTTACTCTGAACACAAATACTTTTGCCCCAGTGTTCGCGTCACCTGAGGGACACAAAACCTTTGATGAGCCATCTTGCACGGAGGTGGCCTCCCCGCACGCCCAGCGCACACAAGCTGGCTGGCCTGCGCACCCCCGCCCAGCTCCTCCTCACCTTCCGTTCACTCTCTCGTGTAAAAAGCTCTCCTTGTAGAGAGTTGCCCAGGGTCCCAGCTGTCCGAGCCAGTGGATCACCTCCTCGGAGGTCCATTTGGCGACAGGCTTGTGCACGAGGAGATCATCTTCTGAATCCCAGCTGCTCCAGTGATAGCCAAGCAAAACCACCTAGAAAGCAGCCGAGAGGGCCCATGAGGCCGCGTGCGCAGGGGAAGGCGGGCTGCCGACCCTCGGCAGAAAAGGATCCTAAAGCGCCTGAGGATCGTTCCAGGCTTGTGTCTGGAAATGCATGGGATAACTGCCCCCCACTGGCACATCCGCTAGCTACGTGACCCTCCAAATAAGAGACCACGCCGCTTTGTGCGACACCAGCTCCGAGGGGGACACGTACCGCCACGCATGTCAGAGCTGTCAGAACGCCCGAGAAAAACCCGCCTCCTCGAGGATTAACTCTCACTACGTTTGGAGCCGCAGATGCCTGATCGCTGCCGTATTTCTGAAAGGCAGCAAGGCTGTAGGACACGTCACTGTTTTGCCGGATATCCTCTTTCCGCTGCTCAATGGCATCTGGAAACAGCTTTTCAATGGCATCTCTAAAAAGGAAAGAGGTTTCACAAGGCACCTCTGTGTGGATCACCATGCTCAGGGCCAGCAGTCCCTCCCCAGGTGAGTGCTCGGGCATGCGCAACGGGAAAGGTCATTGTAAGGATAAGTGGAGAGAAACGCCCATGCCTTCTACAGTCCGCAAACCCCAAAGAAAGTGTAACATAAAATCAATCCAGTTATTTGGGGTGGTTTATCCGAGCCACCTCTTACAAGCCAGGAAAAGCAGCCCGGCTGGCTATTTTTGTAAGCCGCCCCGAGGCTTTTTGCAAAGGGGGTGGCATAGAAATGTTCTAAATAAATAAATAAATAAATATTCAGTGTAGCCCAAGGAAGAGTAGTACAACACAGACAGGCCAGAAGGGCCTCTAAAACCACATCCTGCAGGTGTTGACATAGAAAAAAAGGCCTACAACTCCCAGCATGCCCTAGCCAGCATGCAAGGCCTCTTCTCTAGCTCAACGTACATAAGACTGCATCCCAAACATTGTTAACAAGGGTGGCAGGAATGGACATTCTGGAACCAATTGTTCTGATTAAGTGAAGGAGACGAAGCAACACCCCAAACATCGTGTGACGATCCCACAGGCACCATGGTGGGTGCACACTGTGCTACAATCACCTGAGGAGGATGTTAACCTTGGGGAACCCTTCCCATTTCCCTCTGCATTCGGGACACTCATTCTTCTTGGAGGACGTCCACCACAACGCTAGGCAATGTCTGCAGAAGCTGTGCCCACAGTTCAGAGTGGTGGGATCAACAAGGATATCATAGCAGCAGTGGCAAGACAACTCTCTCACTGATATCTGTCGGCCGATCCCAGAAGCGGCAGCAGGCGACTGGTCGTCCAGCCTCCTCGTCAGCAAATTTTCACTCTCCTCCATAGTCTGTGGGTGCCCAAAGGGCACTCCGCGTTCCTAACTCTGGAAGATGGATGAAAGGAGACTGTTGTACCCATGCAAGGGAGACCAAGCCATGACCTCACCTTCAGTTCCAAGGGACTGCAAACGCAAATTGTCTCACAAAAGTAATGCAGTCAGATCGGGCCTGGACTTTAGATTATGAATTTCCCATTTGAATAATATAAGAATAACTATGGAATGCAGCCAATTACCTAGGGCGGTTTGGCTCTCCCACACTGGAGGCATTCGAAAGGCAGCTGGATACCCGTCTATCGGGGTGCTTTAACCAGGAGCCCTGCATTACGCACTCAGCGGCCTTAAAGGTCCCTTCCAGCTCTACTCTTTTATGATTTTGTGATTAGGTCCTTAACTGATGTACAGCCTCACATTAAAAACAGAATAAAGCACTCTATTAAATAAATGGCTTGAGGGAAACAAATCTAGGAAGAACTCTGACAATTATTATTAAGTTGATTTCAGATTATTTAGCTTTATGAATATAAAGATTTCTAACAAGCAGGTCAATTAAAAGATCTTATTCTTAATGTTAGCCAAGAAAAACTTAACTATGCACAAATCATGTACTGCCGAGCATATGACCTTTGCCGACCTTTGTTTTCCCAAGTGTACTAACAGGACATCCAATTTGAATGCCCATTTTCAGCATGAATTTTTGTCAGCATTAGCCATTTTTTTCATACCAACATAAAGAAGCTCTTTACCTACCTGTGGGCAACACCACACCTCACATTTCTCTGGTTCTACCAAGGAAATAGCTGTTGGTTCTAAAGGGGAATATAAAGCAAGCAGTCTTCACAAAGGCAGACCAAATGCCCATGAAGAAATCTCCAACAGTTGCAAATAATATTGATCCACTAGCTTACGAAGGGCCTGTTTCACCCCTCCCAGAAGGAACGAATCCTTATAAGACCCTTGAACTGCGACCCGATGCCTGAGTCTTGTTTTTTTCCTCCTCCCTCCCAATCCCCTTTCCTTTTGTGCTGTGTCTCTTAGAGAGAATCCCAGAAGGCAGGGGCTGCTTCCTTATCCCATGAGAGCCGCTCACTCGGGAAGCCTTTCCGGGCCGACGAGCAGGCAAACGGGCCGCCCAGCACCGCGAACCCGCTGCTCCCCGCCTCAGAGACGCCGCGGCCTGCAGGGAGCGCCCCTCACCCCCGCCTTCCTCAGCATGGCGCCCTTCAGAGGCCGCGGACTACAACTCCCACCCTGCCCCAGCCCGCAGGCCAAGACATGCAGGGGAGCATCCGCCCCTGCCTCACGCAGGTGCTGCCGCGGCAACGCTGGGCAAAGCCCGCCCGTGATTCCCTCACACCCCCAAATGCGGGGGGGCGGGGCATACCAGAGGCCGCGGCAGCGGCGCCCCCGCCCCACAAGCCCCCCGGGGCCGCCGCGGCCCCTCCCGCTCCCGCTCATCTCCGCCTCCTCAGCCGGGCCCCGCAGGCACTCGCTTCCGGCTGCGCCTGCGCATTCACGACCTCCACTGACCTCTTACCGCGGGGAGAGAGCCACTGCGCACGCGCACCTTCCGAGAGGGCCGGAGGGACAACCTCCTGGATGTCCTCGAGCGACACTTACGCTAGCCAACTCGCGAAAAAGTAACCTGCGGATAGAGCGGTTCCGCCGTGGAGGTCCTGTCACGCACCTCCAAGGCGGCGCCCTGGAAAGAGAAACCGGAAATGCGGCCTGCCTTGAAGCCATTATCCTTTTCTGCCCGCTGCTCTCTGTGACGCAGGCGATGGGAAAGGACAGAGCCAGCCACGCTTGTTTTTGAATCTAAAGGAGCGGAGATCGCCATACAATGTCCAGAAATGCCTGTGGCAGCGAGCGCAGGTCACTCCTAGACGGGACACATTCACCAACTGGGATCCTTTGACGCCATCTTTAAAATGGGCAGCTGCTCCTAAGAGCCAGCGAAGTGTGCCCGGACCTGGGCGTGGTTTCGTGACTGGGCTGCGGAAAGGGGGCGGGTTTTCCCATTCCTTCTTCCTCGCGGGGACAACAACCCTGCGGTGTAGCCTGGTCTTATTTACACATGGTGGCTTGCGCCCAGAGTTCATCATGCTTAGGGCAGGCTCAGTGTTAGAGCTACCGTGGTTAGGCGATCCGGAGTGTGGACCTGGGACTCAGGAGATCTGGGCTCTAGTCCCCTCTCACCATGGACTTCACTGGGTGACTTTGGGCCAGTCACAACCTACCTCACAGGATTGTTGTTGTGAGGATGAGATAGAGGAGTAGGAGAATTATGTACACTGCCCTGAATTCCTTGAAAGCAAAAAAGGCAGGATATGTATAAATGAATAAATGAATCTGATTTATGACTAAAGTGTCCCATCGATTTTAGGCAGGCCAGGCAGTGCTGTGCGATTCCTATTTTCAGGGGCGGCTGAAAAAGTCCCGACGCCCAGCCAGGCCCTCCCTTCCCCCAGCCTTGTTGTTACGTGGGTGGCGACAGCGTCTGAACTAAACTTGGCTGCTCAGGAATGTCAGAGAAGTCTGCGGATCTCATCTATTCTAAGAACAAACCCGGGTCTCTTTTAGCCAGCAGGGTGGAACTTGAGTGTCTAGGAGGCAGGGGGGGATTCTCAGCAGCCGCCCTTCCTTCCCTCCCTCCCTCCGCAAGGCCAGAGGGTACGAGGGGCTCCTCTCAGCCAGACGCTGGACCAGACCTCCCCAGTCCACAGGACTGGAGCATGACCTGGAAGGCCTGTGCAGCTCTCAGGATGGTGGGAACCCAGCAAATGTTGACCATCTACCTGATCCTTGCCACAATCTGTCTCCGGGGCATCCTGCTCCAGCAACCTGGGACAGGGGAGCAAAGGAAGCCCTTCTTTGAAAGGTTCAGGCGGCTGGAGGAGCAGGTGAGCCAGCCCAGGGTGGGGGCCAAACGGAGGGGGCAACCGGGGCAGAACTTTGGTGTGTGGTGGGTCCTTTTCTTCATTCCAGAAGAGAGTCAGGAACCAAACAAAAAAATACTGGGTTTCTGTAAGAAGTAACAAGATGGAGGCAGGTGTGAGAAAACACTGGAGGGCCACGAGTGGAAGGTGGTCATGTCGGACCCGCATGAAATTCCAGGGCTGAGGCAGGCTGGTGGTGACAAAGGCCTCGTCTGGAGGCAACCCGGTTCGGGCACCAGTTTCTTTCTGGGCGAGCAGACCTGTTATTTGGCCACCAGGAGCTGAGAAGAGCGGAGTTTGCTGGCTCCTGCCAGGGACCTCGGAGCAAGGCAGGCTTCGCGGATGGAGAGGCAGGGCACCCAAGGGCTGGAGCTGCCTGCCTGGCAACAGCTATACTGGGCGCAGATAAATAAAGCCCTGGGGCGTGTGGAGGAAGCGCCGCCTTCGCTCCATCCCGTTCGCCCACCTGCACGGGCTGCTGTCCTCAGGGAGGGCCGGTGGCCGCACCGGTGCGGCCCCTCCACGCGAGAGCCACGCCTGGGGCGCTTGTGCTGCGTTGTGGAACCAGCGCGGCTGAGCTCCCTCTGGTGTGCTCAGCGTCTCTTGCAGGGCCTCGTTTCGCCTCAGACCCCACTGGAAGCCTCTGCCGTTCTGATACTCCAGGCTTGTTCGCCTGCCAGAAGCCATTTTGGTCTGGGTTAGCTTCTCTGCCAGCAGGAACGCGCCTCACGGGCTCCCTGAAATGTGTGTCCGTGCATGTTAAGTTACGTTGTGAGGGAAGGGCTCCGCGGGCGCCGCTCTTTCCCTGTCGTGCGGAGCTGCACCGGGAGACGAGGAGGATGCAGGGCTACTCCCGCAGCCTCACTGAGAATGGCTTGATCTTCCCTCCCTTCCCCAGTCCCCTTCTGGGCCTGGCAGCATCCCTTAGACTGTAAGTCAGCAGGTGAGGCCTGTCTTGTTTTGCTGATCAAGGTTCCTTGGGGCCTTTTGGCTGAAGGGCAGGATAAAAATGCGTCAGAGAAGCCCCACGGCTTCAGAGAGTCTTTGAGAGGAAAGCACCCCAAAGAAACCCGTAGTCATAAAGGGAGGATTCAAACACTTGCGGTCACAAGGAAAAGAATGAGCTGCGCATCCCTGAGTCTTATCCGCATGGATGGATGTTTTCCACTTAACGCTATAAATACGCCGCGCTCGTTGTCACGGTTCCTCTTGCTAAATATAGTGGGCTTTGCTCATCCGCTCCAAGGAGGCGCCCCATTCCGTGCCGCTGTTCCCTTGCTTGCTCCAAGGGAGGAGCCGCCCCACACAAGAATGCGTGGAGTGGGCCTCCCTACCTGTTGGATCCGCCGTTCACCTCTGAGTTCCCCGTGCCCCGAAGGAGCTGAGCTGAGCTGAGCACGCGTGTTTCCCGCCTTCACCCTCAACAACGCTGTGAGGTTGGCTGACTCATGAGAGCGCGGTGCCCACGCAGAAAACACTGTGGCAAAGCAGGGATTTGGACCCCAGGGCTAAGTTCGGCTCCGGAGCCCAGCGGCCTCTGACCTTGTGTCCTGCAAAAGTGTATGACTACAGCTCCCATCATGTCCAGCCAGCAGGGCCGGTTGCCCGGATGCTAGTCCTGCATTCTATGGTCTTAGTGGTCTTAGTCACACTGGAAACCCTTTGGGCACCAAAGGTGGGATACGGAAAGGGTGGGGAAGGGGAAGGGATCGTTGGGCCATGAGCGGCGTCCGATTCCAGCCGTCGGCCCTCCTCATCTGTTGGGCCTCAGCTCCATCAGCCCCAGCCATCATGGCCAATGATCAAGAATTCTGGGAACTGTAGTCCAAAACGTCTGGCGCGCAGCAGGGCGTGCTCGCACGGAGGTGGAGGCTGTGCCGAGGCCCTTGTCCCAGGCTGGTGCACGGGCGGGGGGGGGGGCTGCGCCGTCCTTCCCCAGCACGTCCCCCACACGCGCAGCGAGCGCTCCCAGCCCAACCCGGCCTGTCTTTCCGCCTTCTCCCAGTTCCGCCGCTTCCAGGAGGTCACCCTCTTGCGCTTCCATGAGATTGCCGGGAATCACAACGTCTCCCAGGATGCCGATGCCCAGCTCGAGCGCCTGCGCGGAAGGCAGGAGGCCCTGGAGTCGGCGGCCAACGAGACCCACGCGGCCACGCGGCAGGAGCTTGGGCGCCTCAGAGCCCAGCTGAAGAAGCTGCGGCGCAAGACCGGCGAGCAGGAGGCGCGGCTCACGGCCCTGCAGGAGGCCTGGCAGGAGAGCACGGCAGGGGCGCAGCGCCAGGAGGCGCTCCTGGCCGACCTAGCCCGGGACGTCGCCAGCCAGCGGGAGGCCGGCCGGGCCGTGCGTGCCGCCCAGCAGAGCCTGCAGAAGGCCCTGGAGGGCGTCCAGGACGCCCTGAAGAGCCAGGGCAGTAAGCTGGGCGATGTGGAGCGGCAGCTGAGCAGTTCTGGCCCCCGCGGGGCCCTTCCGCCCGTCCGGCCGGCCACAGCCCACCTCCTGGGTCAGGCTGCCCAGGGAAAGGGGCCAGAGGCGGCAGCCGGGCAGAGTCCGACCCTGAGAAAGCTCCAAGCCAAGCGCCGGCAAAAGGCGAGGCTGCAGCAGGAGGGCAGCCGCCTCATGGCCCTGTCCCAGGATCACGGGGAACAGAGTGCCGTCCCCACGGCTCGGGCACTGCCCCTGCCGGAGTTGGAAGCAGACGCTGCCTCTCTGCTGGACCCGCAGGCTCTCCGTCAGCCCGCTTCAGTCCAGGGCCGGGTCCCGGAAGGGCCTCTGCAGGGCCTCCGTCAGCCAGGGGCAGGTAGGTACCACGGGATGCTGCGGGCTGACCCCGAGGCTCCGTGAGGCGTTTGCCACAAGCATCTGATTCTGACCGGCAGCAGGCAGTGGGGCTCGGGGCAGGGCTGGCCCCTAGATTTTCACCCGGAATCTGCCGTGGGTCTGGTGGCATGGCAGTGCCTTCCCTCTGGTGTGAGGGGGGTGCTCATGTGCTGGGGGCTCCAGGGATCCCGGCAGAGACCGCCTATCGAAGGCCCGGCACACCGGGAAGGCTTCCGCCTGGGTGCCAGCTGCTGGCACGGCTCCCACTGAGCAGCAGAGCGAGCAGTGGGGGGATCCCTCCCCCCCCCCCCCGTGCCACTGTGCCCTGCGTCACACGCCTCCTGATGGCCTCTCTCTTCCTCTTCCCGCTGCCAGTCTGCAACGTGGGCTCCATGCTGGTTTTCCCAAACGCTTCCACAGAGAACTTTGCGGTCATCCAGCCGGGCCCCCGCACCAGCCTGCTGGAACTGAGCGTCTGTAGCTGGGTGCGCACCCCCGCCGGCTACCTGGGCACGATCCTGTCTTACGCCACAGAAGAGAACGACAACAAGCTGGTCCTGCACGGCAGGGACGTTGCTCCGCGGAGCGCCGTCCACTTCGTCATCGGCGACCCCGCTTTCCGGGAGCTGCCCGTGGGCCGGGTCCTCGATGGCACGTGGCATCACCTCTGTACCATCTGGTCCTCCATCCAGGGGCGCTACTGGTTCTTTGTGGACAGGCGGCTGGTCTCCATGGGCTCCAGGTTCCGGAGGGGCTACGAGATCCCCCCCGGAGGCTCCCTCATCCTGGGCCAGGAGCAAGATGTGCTGGGGGGCGGCTTCGAGCCCTCCGAAGCGTTTGTGGGGTTCCTGGCTGGCTTTGCCATGTGGGATCGCGCGCTCTCGCCTGGGGAGGTCTCTGGCCTCGCTGTCGGAAGTGGGCTGCCCCGCGGGCCCCTCCTCACCCTGGCCGATGTCTCTGCCCTGCACGGATCCGTGCGGAAGGTGAACTGCACCTGCCTCGAACTCTGCCTGTAATTCTCCCCCGCCGAATCTCTGCACCGGAGGATCCAGAATCCAAGTAACCTCCAGTTCGTTCTGCAGGCTTTTCTCCTGGAAAACGACGTGGTGGGAAGAGCTCCTTGAAGGATGCTGCGGTCGTGCCCAAGGCAGCTCAGCTCCACGAACAGAAGCGTCCAGAAGTCAGAGTTGAAAGCAGGAAGAATCAAGTGGGCCGAGGGTTTGGTGCAGACTTGTTGCGAGGCCAGTCAGGGGCACCGTTCGGGCCGTGACGTTGCCCGGGTGATCTTGCCTGCTCCTCCTTCGCTGCCCCATGCCTCCGGTCTGCTTCCTGGAAGTTCTTCTCCATGCTCTCCATGGCTCAGGCCTTCCCCGACTGCGGACCTTCACATAACCAGACTGAAGCCATGCAGTGGAAGACCGGGCAGATCCCGCTGGTCTGAAGCACACACAGAGGACATTTTCGCCCAGCGGCAAGCACAAGCACCTGCCCGGCATCAGCTGCACATTTATGAGCAGGCCTCCGGTCTCATAGCACATGCTTTTAATCATGGGCACTACAAGGGCGATCTGTGAAGAAATATGCACATTAATTCCTTATAATTTTCTTCATTTGCCTTCTTTTTCTTAGAAAGTTTTTCTCTCTTACTTAGAATGTTTTCTATCCATCTTATATTTCTTAAACCAAATGTACTCCATAACCTGTTTGACTTTGCTATACTGGATAAAGAGAAATACGTCTTGGAGTGACTCAATGTATCCTCAATGTCCTCATGGTTTTGAAAAGAAATGTTTTTAGTTCCCTCTCTCTGATCTGCCTGGCCATCTGTGGCCATACGCATTGGCACCGCAATCAGGCTTCTTTGCCATGCTGAAAACTAGCGAGTAATCCAGCCGCTCAGAACGACGGTGCCCTGCCGGTTCTCCGCCGCTGCCGGCGTGTCGTTGGGGCCCTGTGGGATTCCGCACACCCTCGCAGGGGGAGAAGACCCACGGGAGACGACACGGCGGTGCTAACGCCAAAGGGGTCGCTCTTGCATCCCGCTCGTGGCCTTCCCTGCGTGGCCCCTGGCTGGCCGCTGCGCCGGCACAGGCAAGCCTCAGCCCCGATCCTGCGTGGTGCTCCCGCCACCCTGAACGGCTGCGGCAAGGGGAGGGGTCCTTGATTTGGCTGTGCCATTTGGTCCAGCGATTGCCCCGACTGGAGAAGGCTCGCCATCCGTAGACAGAGCACAGATTCAGGCTGGAGCCATAGAGGGGCAAACGGGGGTGTTCCCAGCAGGCAGGGGGGCGTGGGGCGGCCCCACCCCATCAGGAAGGGGACCCATTTCCCAGTCCTGGGAGGAGAGTGAGCCTGGAGCATCCAAGGCTGGAGGGGTGTGGCAGAGAGGCCCGAGTCCAGAAATGGGAGCACGAGCCCCTGGCTGCCCCCTCAGCCCAGGGAGCTACTGCAGCCTTCCCTCCCCAACCCGGTGCCCTTCAGACAAGGGGGCTCCGGCGTGCGTCCACGCCACCTGGTAGCAGAGGGGGCGGCAGGCCCGCGGGGTGGCTTTCCACGCTCTCGCTCATGGTGCCCTTGCAGCTGGTGCGAGGAAAGGGAGGCCGTCCTGCCCTCAGCAGCAGCCTTGTGCCGGCCCACGTGCCTGGGGAACAGGCTGGTCAGGATGGGAAGTTCAGTGACAGGCCATGAATCAGCAGGCCGAGGGCCTCGAGTCACGGCTGCCTCTTCCCGCATTTCGCTGCTTCCCTTTGTCGCCTTCTGCAGCCCCAGAACGGCGAAGGAACGAAGAGGTCGACTTCAGGGAATGAAGCGGCGTGCACGGGGTCAAGGGCTGCCCGTGGAACCCTTCTCCCCGGCCTCAGGGGGGAGATTGTTCCCCGCACTGACAATCGGCTGTTAACCGGGGGCGGGAGGTGCGCTCAGAGGCTCCTCAGCCACTGCTCTCTCCACACGAAAGCATGGCCACCATACTTCGGTTGGGTGGGGCATGTCTCCAGAAAGTGTGCGTGAGCCACCCGGCGGGCTGGAGGAGCTCAGGGATCTGCAGAACATTTGCAAATGCCGATTCGGGCGTGTAAATGCACGCCTGAGCAGAACTGGGGGAAGCGAAGCAGGATAAAAAGCAGCCCACGAAAGTGGGCAAGCGTGGCCAGGCTGCTCCACGGCGGGTCCCTCTGCCCGCCCCCGCCTCAGCTTTCCCCTCCCAGCGCGGGATGCGAGGGCTTCGTGAGGCCTGCGCGGGTCCCCTCCGGTGCACGCATCTTGCGAGTGCGGGACGGCGCTTCGGCGCGGGACCGTTGCTCAGGGGGCACGTGCAGCAGGCAAGCCGCGCAGGCGCAGCAGCAGCAGGGAGTCCACGCAAGGCGAGGCCCGCGCGGAGCAGCGCGCACGGGGGAAGCGGGCGGGCGGCGCCAGAAGCGGGGCTCTCCGGAGGACTACAGCTCCCACGATGCCGCGGGAGGAGGCGGGCGGGCGCGGTCACGTGCGGCGAGCGGGCGCCGCCCACGTGACCGCCGCCGCCGCCGAGCGCATCTCCGGCCTCCAGTCGCCGCGAGCCGCCGGGCGGCGATGGCGAACGTGTCCAAGAAGGTGTCGTGGTCCGGCCGCGAGGGCGAGGGCGAGGGCCGCGGGGAGTGCACGCCGCTGCTCAACGGCACGGGCGCCGCCGCCGCCCCCCCGGCAGGGGGGCGCCGGCCGAGGCCGCGGGGCACCGGGGCGGGTGGCCCCGTTCCCCGCCGAGCGCTCCCGGGGCGGAGGGGCCTCGCCCTGGGCCCGCCGCCCTCCTCGGGGCTGCGGGAGGCAGACCCCCGGGCCCGCCCTCGAGAGCGCCTGGCGCCGCGCGGGCCGGGAGCGCCAGGGCCGCCCCGCGTCGCGTCGCCCCGCGGGAGCGAATGGGCTGCAGGGCAGCGACCGCCGCCCGCCAACCCCGGCGGCCCTTGGCGGGGCTCAGGCCTGCTGCTCACCCCGTGGCTCAGCCGTGGAATGTGTGAACGGAGCATGTGCAGAGCGCAAGCGCAGGGGGAACGCAGCATCCCAGGCAGCAGGTGGGGGTCGGAAGATGGGACTGCGGGGCAGGCTTGGACTCCAGCACCTCCTCCCCCTTCAGGACTAGTCGCCTGTTCTTGCTGTTTGGTGGCTTGCCCCGGGGAGGCCTAGCTGGTCACACGCCCCAGGTTAGCAGTGGCACAAGCTGCGGACGGGGCAGCAGAGGGCAGGCGGCTGGAGGGGGGGCGGTTGATCCACCCCAGGGGGCCCCTCTCTGTCCAGTTCAGTGCCAGCCAGGCCCCTCGGCTCCCTGGCGAGCGCTTGCGTGGCAAAGCAGTCCGGGTGGGCGCAGGGCTGCCTGGCGGGTCGGCCGGCCGTGGGCTGCGCGGTCTCAGCAGCTGGCAGCAGGGGAAGGCCCTTGCATCGAGTGGGACGCGTTGCTTTGCTTCTGCGCTGCCCTCCAGGGCAAGAAAGTGAGCTGGCCCCTGAGGGGTGGGCGCCCGATTAGCGATTTGGAACTACATCGGCCGTGGCCGGCGAGCGGGAGCACGGCTGGCCGGGTGTTGCTGCCCCCAGCCCAGACTCGGGGGTCTCTCACAGGGAGCTGGGTGTCACCATGAATCGGGGCGAATCATGGAACCGTACTGGTGGAAGAGGCCTCGAGGGCCACGGGGCCCCCTCCTCGGCGCAGGACTCGAGTCTCCCATCCAGGCGTGCGCCAGGCCTGACCCTGCTTAGCTTCTAGGCAAAGAGGATTCTGGGGAGATGGTCCTGCTTCCGGGTTGTCTGTGCGCTCGTGCACGTGTGCCCATCTGGGTGATGGAATGTGGGGGGGAGGCTTGAGGAGATGGTGTGGGCCCCCAAAGCAGTCTAGTGGCTCCACTGGAAAGCTTTTGAATTGGAGACCCCCCCTCGTGTCTTGGTCCCGGAGGGCCTCAGTTCACCAGCGAACTGGTGTGTCTTCCTGGCCAAAGCATTTGGTCCCGTCCAGCTTTCCCCAAGCCTGGTGCCCGCTAGAAGTGTCGGAACAGAACTCTGGTTCCCCCGAGCGCAGGGAAGGCTGTTCCAGGTCAGTCAAGACGCTTCGTCTGCTCGAGATGCCCGGGTCGCTCTGGAAGGCCGTCTGTTTATACGGGCACAATTCTGCGCTTGCCTAGGCAGAAAAATTGCCTGGCTGGGCATGGTGGAAATAGCAGGGCATTTTTCCTGTCTAAACACGCATGTCCTCGTGCCCCAAATCTGTCACCTGTTCTTCTGTTTCTTGTATCGCCCAAAGGAAGTTAGGGAAGTTGGAAGCTGGCTTACACTGCATCGGAGAATTTCTCTTCCTAGCCCAGCATCGCATATTCTGGCTGGCAGCCTCTCTTCAGGGTGGCTGGCAACCTCATGCTTTCCTTTGGCAGCCTCACAGCTAGGAAGCTGGGCTTTTGCATGTGTGAACCAGCAGCCTGTATTACAGCCCATGCAGAGTTCCAGCGGAGCAGTCACGGGATCTCCTGAATGTTGATATATAAACACAGAAGCTTTAGACGCAACAGCCTTTTTATTGTCTCCAATCTTGCTCTAGTTTCAAAGCATTTTAATCCGTGCTGCCCAGGTTTTGTGTGGCTGAGATGTTTGTCCAAACTGCAAGCCCGTGATCTCTCGCTGGCCCAAAGGCCCTCCCGCCCCGCAGACTCAGGCGCTTCATTTTCTTCTAGGAAGTCACATGCCACGGAGACATGTGCTTTATGCTGAAAAAGGAAATGCGGGAAAGACCCCATGGCAAGCAGCCGTTCGCATAAGATGCAGAACTCCCGTCCAGCGTGTGGGTTTCCCCACGTGTGGACCCGGCGCTGGACATGGTGCATCCCTCGTCCACTCCGGCGGCAGGGCTCTTGGTGGTCACGCCGGGGCTCCGGCGACGACGGACTGGGAGGCACGGTGGCCCCTTCGCCGTCAGGCTGGCGCCGTGGTCAGCCCACCCCCGAGGGTTCTCCGCCCGGCACGAGCCCCGGCCCCTCTGTGCGTCCTCGGGCGACTTGGGACTTGTGGCTCGGGCGTGTGCAGGTGGCCGCCCGGGTTGCGCTGAAGCAAGCCAGCCTGCCTGCGTAGAGAGCTGACTTCTGCGGAAACCCCTGCTCGGTTACCATTCGCTCTGTGCCTTGGTTTCATATAAAAGCGCTTCAGTGGGGCCTCCCTCACGTTCTGCAGCAGTCAGAGTGCCTTGCAATCAATGTTACGGAGAAAGTAAAAACGATGCACCTTTTTTTTTAAAGAAAAGAACATCAAAATATCAGTTAACAAAGTGGGAGACCGAAACAAATCAGCAGAATGAGGCAGACGCCGGCACTGACAGGCTGGGATGAAAGCGCTTTCCAGAGAGCTGGTCCCGCAGGGCCAGCGCAGGGACGGCGTGTGATGTGGGGCTGCCTTTGCCTGGGCTGCGGGTGCTGCCGGTGGGAGCGTGCAGAGGGCAGCTCGGGAGGATAGCGCTCATGCAGGGCGAGCTCGTGTGGAGGGAGGCGGTACAGTCCTGCCTCCAGCCGTGGCATGTCCCACTCGGGGGTGCGCCGGGGTGCTGGGCCAGCCCTTGGGTGTCTTGGAGCGACCGTTTCACGGGGGCGGCTCAGTGGCAGATCCTGCATTCAGCGTCTTCCGAGCCAGGAGCCCCGTCCCTGCCGGGGACCCCACTGGCCTGGGCAGGGCGGACTAGACGTGGCGAAGGCACCGGGCGGACCCTGTGCGCATTCTCCGTCCGATGGAGGCCCGTCGCGGTCCGCCGAGAGCACCGTGCCCTTGAGGCCGGGTGCTGGGGCGAGGCCTTCCCCGGGGCACTTTGGGTCAGCGGAGGCCGCTCTCGGCCTGCTTCCCCCAACGAGGGCGAGCCCTGGAGCCGGCAAGAGGAAGTGAGAAAGCTCTTGGGACGGAAGCGCTCCGACTCTGTGGGCGTCTCGCTCTGGAGCTTCGCTGTGACCCGAGGGAGGCCTGGCCTGCCCAGATGCTAGGCTGGGTCGGGCAGGAAGTGGAGGGGGCTGTCAGTTGGTTTGTTTCTGTCTATAGGAGGCCTTTCTGCCCGGCAGAGCCCCCCGAGCAGTGGGAAAAGCTGTTCTCCGCGCCTGTGTTGCCCTCTCCTCCATGCACCGCCTCACAGAAGGGTGCGTCTCCGCCTGGCTGGCTGGCAGGCAGGCAGGCAGGCAGGCAGGCAGGCAGGCAGGGGTTCTCGGGCTGATCGGCGGGTGCGTCCCAAAATCACCCATGACCTGCCGACATACATGCAGGCCCGCCGAAAAGACTCTGAGTGTGTTTAACCAGTAAGAGGTTTGGCCACTGGTAAAAGGGACCTTCTTCTGGGATGCCGGGATTCTCCGGAGGAGGGCGCAGGGGGACTTCCTTGGGCGGCTGCCCCGTGACTCAGTCGGGCCTGTGCCAGGTGCCCAGGGGTGGCAGCTGTCCAGAGCGGTGGCGTTTGGGGGACGGCCCGGTTGCCCCCCAGCCCGCCACTCGCAGAGAGTCTGTTGTGTCTGTGCAGGGCTTTCAACCATTCAGGTGATTTGTGTGAATGAACTAGGGGTAAGCTTGGCAACACCCCTGCAGTGTAGGCCCCTCCTGTTTTCCACCCCCCCCCCATGGCAGATGAGGAGGGGTGGGCTGAGGGTCGGATCAAACATCTGGGGAGCCTGGGTGGCGACGTGGCCTGGGCCGGGTTCCTGATGTGCGGCTCGGCCTTGGCCCGGCCAGCCACCCGGCTCCTGCCCTGCTCCGCTCTGGCAGGGGCCTCGCCTCTGGCCAGCTGCCTGGGGAGGACGCGGCTCGGCCGGCCACTCCGACGCGCCCCTCTTGCCTCCCCAGCTCACCCCGTCCGCATCCTCCTCTCGGCTCGGGCACCTGAGCAATGTGGACCTTGAGGATGAGCGCGAGCTCGTAAGTGCGGGGGGGGGGCGGGGGGGTCGCGGTAGCCTCTGTGGCAGCCGTGGGGCTCGGGGGCCAGGCAGGTGGTGCCCGCCTGGCCTGGGGGAGCCATCCTGGCGGAGGTGGGGCGCCCGGGGGTGGACTTCCACGTCGGAGATGCTCCGGGGGCCACGTCCCAGTGGCGGGTGGCTGAATGGGGCAGGGCAAAGCCAAGGGGCAGGGCCCAGACGCAGAGCAGACCGGGCCAGTGCCGCTCCGGGTCGCAGAAGCGGAGGGCCGGCCTTCGCAGCAGTGGCGGTTTAACCTTTCAGGGGCTGGGCGATGACTGCGTGGTGCGTGGCCGGGGGGTGCTGAGCAAAGGGGTGGCGCCTGGGCGGGACTGGAGCCTGGACTGGGACGTGGGAGGACGGGCTTGCCCCCCGCTTGAGGGCTGCGCCCCGCGTTCGGCCGGAGTCGTGGCTTGTGGCGTGGCTGGAATAACGCTGTGGCCCCCCAGCAGGAGCCGGACGTGGCCCAGCCCCTTCCCAACGAGATCCCGCACACGGAGAAGCTGCTCTCGCTCAAGTACGAGGTGAGTGCCGTGCGGCTCGCTGTCCCGGGGCGGAGCGGGGCCCCCGCTGCAGGCCGAGAACCCCGGCAAAGCGGCGCCAGAGCCCTCGGGGCCCCCTGGGGTGACGTGCCCCGGGGAGGCGCATCGGGGCCACGCCTGCTTCTCCCCAGCCGGGACGGGGTGCATGGGGCACCCCCGAGCACGTGCCCCAGCGAGTGGCTCCCCTCCCTTGCTGCCTGCAGAGCCTGGACTACGACAACTGCGAGAACCAGCTCTTCCTGGAGGAGGAGAGGAGCATCCACCACACCGTGAGTCCCCCCGCTCGTGCTCCCCCCCAAAGCGTGCGGCTGGCCTCGCATGGCCTGTCGGGGGCCCGGCTTCCTCGGCGGGCACAGAAGCCCCCTGCCAGGCAGATGCAGGGAAAGGGCTGCTGCCCAGGCAGCCCCTGAGCCGCCTCCATCCTGCGGGCGGGTGGCACTCACGCCCCCTCCCCACTCCCCCTCCGAGGAGGACCGGGTGCCTCCCCACTTCCCGGTCGGATCCTCGCAGCGGCCCTTGGGCAGTGGCCTCGGGGGGCAGGGCTCGCCAGCCGCCCCGCAAAAGGCCCCCTCGGCGGGGGTGCTGGAGCCCCACCCGGGCGCCCGGTGCTGCTGCGTGGGCGCTGAGCGCGGCCCTCTGCTGCCAGGCCTTCCGGACGGTGGAGATCCGGCGCTGGGTCATCTGCGCCATGATCGGCATCCTCACCGGCCTCGTGGCCTGCTTCATCGACATCGTGGTGGAGAACCTGGCCGGGCTGAAGTACAAAGTGGTGAAGGGCAGTATCCTTGCAGCTGGGCCGGGGGGCGCGGGGGGCGCGGGGACGGGGCTGGAGGCGGGCTCATGCTTTGGCGTCCGCCTGGGAACGAGCCCCGGAAGGCCGCGTCGCTCGGAGCGTGTTTCTCCTGACCGCTGCCCAGATATCGACAGGTTCACGGAGACGGGGGGGCTTTCCTCCTCCCTGCTGCTCTGGGCCACCCTGAACGCGAGCTTCGTCCTGCTGGGCGCCGTCATCGTCGCGTGCGTCGAGGTGAGGCCGCCCCCGGACGCGCTGCCCGGACGGCCGGGGCAGTGGCGGGGGCGCTCGCTCAGGGGGGGGAGGCCTCCGACGGCCCTGGCAGCCCTCTTCTGTGCCCCCGCAGCCGGTGGCCGCTGGCAGCGGAATCCCCCAGATCAAGTGTTACCTCAACGGCGTCAAGATCCCGCACGTGGTTCGGTTAAAGGTACGGGGGGAGGGGACGGGCCCCGTGCCCGGAGGGGACCTACGGACCCCCCTGTGCGTGAAGGGGGCGCGTGCGTGGCCGGGTGGGGGGCCAGCAGAGGTGGAGCACCTGCGGGAGGGGGCCGCCCGAGCCAGGGCCGGCGCCCCATAGCCGCTTGTGGGCACCCAGCCACCTGCGCGGCTTCTGCCGAGGGGACCGGCGTTGCGGGCAGGAGCCGATCGGCCTCCGGCGCCACATGCCAGCAGTCGGCGCGTGTGCCCGTTGCTCGGCCTGGGGGTGTCCTGCGGACGCTCCCCTCCTGTGCCTGCCCGGGGGGGCGGAGGGGGGAGCGGCGAGGCTGCAAGGGACCAGAGCCGGCCTTCTTCCCTCGCAGACGCTGGTGGTCAAAGTGTGTGGCGTGATTCTCTCGGTGGCCGGAGGCCTGGCAGTCGGAAAGGTAACGGGAGCGGCCCCGAGGAAGTCGGCCGCGGCCCTGCTGGAGCAGGCGCGGGGCCCGGTTCCAGCAGCCCCCTCCGTCAGCAGCGCCCTTGGCCTCTCCGGGCGCAGGCCGGGAGCTGCCAGAGGGGCTGCGGTGGCTGCGGGAGGGAGCGAGGCCCGGGGAGGGAGCGCTGGGGGTGGTGGGCTCGTAGGCAAGCGGGATCGGGCTAGCAGTCCAGCGCTTGGTGGCTCAGCGGGCCCTGCCACGCCTCGTGGCAAGCCAGAGAAAGGCTGTGGGGAAGCCACGCTGCCGTCTCTGCAGCGGAGCCCGTGGCGCGACGTGCGGGTGGCTCAGCCCGCATGTCACCATCCTGGGGAAGCGGCTGCGGCGTCAGACCCTTTCTCTCATTTCAGGAAGGGCCCATGATTCACTCCGGGGCCGTCATCGCCGCCGGGATCTCCCAGGGGCGCTCGACTTCTCTAAAGAGGGACTTCAAGGTCGGTGGCTGGCTGGTGGCTGGGCAGGCCGGGCTCGACCAGGCGGCTGTGTCGGGCTTTCGGGGGCGCCGGAGCCCCGCTGCCGGCTGGGCTGTGAGCCGACGGCTTGCCTAGGATGCTCCCTGCCCCTCGTGGTCACCCTGGGCCTCTGCCAATCCTGGGGCTCCGCGTGGATTTCCTGGAGGCGGCACGTGGCGGAAAAGGGCCGGGCCGCGCCGCGCGGGCCCCAGCGAGCAGCAGGGGAGGCCCCAGGCGTGTGTGGGGCAGAGACGGAGCGAGGGAGGCCGCTCGCTGCGCCTCGTCCCGACAGCTTTGTCCGCTCGCAGGCGGCGGCTGCTGCTTGGGGTGCTGACGGGCTCCGTGCTTTGTTGCTTTCAGATCTTCGAGTACTTCCGGAGAGACACGGAGAAGAGGGATTTTGTCTCCGCTGGCGCGGCCGCTGGGGTCTCGGCTGCCTTTGGGGCCCCTGTCGGTAAGGTGCCTCAGCGCCTGGCCTCTCGTGACGGAGGGCTCGCTGCGGCGTCTCTCCCCACACGGCTCCGCCACGGGGGCGGGCGGGTGGGCTCTCTGCGGCCCTGCGCTCTCGAGCAGCCGGGCTCGGCTCTGGGGGGAATCCAGCCTGCTTCAGAAGGGTCTTCCGGGGGCGTGTGTCCAGAGCACCCGGCTGCACCCAGAAGGGCCCCTGCTGGCATGGCCGGGAGATGTCCCGGGGCCGCCCCGCTGGTCAGTGTGGCGCTCCGGTAGCTGGACAGGCAGTCCGGCCCCTTCCCGCCCTGCGCAGATGAAAGGGCTCCGCCGGAGCGGGCTCTCCCCATGGTTTGCAAGGAAGGGGCTGGCCCGCAGCGTCTGCCTGGGGGTGCGTTGAGGGGGGCCCTCGGGACAGGCGTTGCCCCGGAAGAAGCCACGGCTGGGGCCTGCAGGCCCGGGGCTGCCTTGCAAGCGGGCCGAGCCCGGGCTGCTGGGCGGGACCCGGGCCGGCGGCTCACCTGGGCTCCCTCCCTCTCGCGCCGGCAGGTGGTGTCCTTTTCAGCCTGGAGGAAGGCGCTTCCTTCTGGAACCAGTTCTTGACCTGGAGGATCGTGAGTGCCGCCCCCTCCCTGGCAGGCGGGGGGCCGCGGAGCACCGGGGGGGGGCGGGCGGGCTGTGGGCACACCGGCCAACTGCGCCCCCGCGGCTGCTTTCCCCCCGCAGTTCTTCGCCTCCATGATCTCCACCTTCACCCTCAACTCCATCCTGAGCATCTACAAGGGCAACCCCTGGGACCTCTCCAGCCCCGGCCTCATCAACTTCGGCCGCTTTGATTCCACGGTACGGCCGCCCTCGCTGTGGCAGCGCCTCCCCCGCCCCCCGTGTTGGTCCTGCCCTTCGCCTTTGCTGGCTCGCGGCGCCCTTCGCCCAAAGGCGGTCGCAGCGCTGCTCCCTCCCGCTTTCCGACGGCACTGAGGGGTCTTTGGCGAACGGCACCGGCTTCCGAGCGAGCCTTCCTGCGGGGCGCTTGGCCACGCGAGGGCCTTGCCGGAAGACGTGGCGTGGTGCACAGCGCCAGGCTCAGCCGCTCTTTCAGTGGCACGACGGGGCTTGGAACCAGCCGGAGCTGCCACTGGGCCAGTGCTGTGGCAGATGGGTTAAGTGGTGAGGCAGGCCGTGGCACAGCGCTGGTGGGGCCAGGCGGCGCTGCAGTGCAGCACCGCAGAGCTTGCTTTCCTTCCTTCCAGAAAATGGGATACACCATTCAAGAGATCCCGATCTTCATCTTCATCGGAGTGGTGGGTAAGTGCCCCGTTCGGCACCAGAACGACCGGGCAGAGGCGTCCGAGGGACCCACTGCTTTGCTGAGGGCTGGGAGACTTGGGGAGCTTTGAAACGGGGTGGGGGGCCCTTTGGCTTCCCACCTGCTGGCCAGCTTCTTCCCAAGCCCCGTCGCCCTCCTCAGCGTGGAAAAGCCCGTCACACGAGCCAGCGGCCGATCGGCATTCAGGTCCGTGTGCGACCTCCGCAGCCTTTCCAGACAGGAATGCAGTCCTCTCAAGCTCAAGCAAGCAAGAGCCACGTGGGAACGGGTGTATGACGGGTCGGGGTTTCCTCCCCGACCGGGAACCCGCCAGATGTGCTGAGGGCTTTTCCGTCATCCCTGGGGACTATGGGAGGCGCAGTCCAACAGCTGGGAGGCACCAGCTCATGGGGGGCTGCTTTAAGGTTTTTCTCCCTTTCATTTTGGCCCTGGGGCAGCTCCTTTGTGTGCAGGGGGGGCAGTTAGAGCATCTGCCACCCCCCGGGCGCCCTTCCACTTCGCCTCCCTCCCCGGCTCACGTCCGACTGAGTCCGCAGCCTTCCCACGGCTTTCCGGCAGGCGCCCTGGCCAGGCGCGTGGCTGGGTGGGGGCGGGTGCCTGACATCCGCTTGGCCCCCCTGATGGGTGCTTCCCCCTCCGCTGGCAGGTGGGCTCCTCGGAGCGCTGTTCAACGCCTTGAACTACTGGCTGACGATGTTCCGCATCAGGTGAGGCCCGGGCCCGTCCACACTGGGGTGGGGTGGTCCTTCCCGGTAAATCAGGCATGCTCCGTGGCGCAAGCAGTTTCTCACACCGCGTGGCAGGCCAGGGGTCTGCGGGCCCGGCCGTCTCCGTGACACTGCGACTGATGCCGTGGCACCCGCACTGGGATGTGCGAGAAGTCCCAGCGGATTCACATGAGCCGGATTTCTGCAGCTCCAGCCCGCAGCAGGCCAGCTTTTCCAAGTCGTGTGGATCTGGCCGGCTTGCAGACCGGTATTTCGCTTCGGGGGGCTTGGTGCATGCTCCCCAGCACGGATGGGCGGAATCAGTGTGGCGGAATGAAATTCTTGTTAAAAAAGCCAAGCCCGGCAACACAGAATGCGAAACAGCAGACGTCTCGAGATCGGCCAAGCGCAGGCAGAAGGGGTCGAACAGAATGCGAGGATCCCCGCGCCCTTTCCCGTTGCTCCGCACCGACAACGGCTCCCACCAGGTTCTCCAGATGGCACGGAACAGGGGGCACGTGCAGGTCCTCGGATGGCCACGAGTTGTTGCCAGGCGGTGGTCTCCTGGCCCGCAACCTCTCCATTCATAGGAAAAATTTTCTTGGCTGGGTTTGAGGACTGCTCTGCGCAGCCCCGACTCACCTGCCAGGTGTGCCTGTGTGTTCCTTGATTCCCCAGGTATATCCACCGCCCGTTCCTGCAGGTGATCGAGGCCATGCTCGTGGCGGCCGTGACGGCTACCGTCGGGTTTGTGATGATCTACACGTCCGGAGACTGCCAGCCGCTCCAGGGCAACAGCATGGCTTACCCGCTGCAGGTAGGCAGCCTGTGGGGGTGCCGTGGGGGGGTCCCGGGCAGGCCTCTTGGGGGCCACCGGGCACAGACGCTCGAGGGAGGTTCCGAGAGGCCACAGGGCTGCTCCTGAGCCTTGGTTCCCAGCTGCTCACCCCCGGGCCCGTTGGCGAGGCTGGCACCGGGGCGGCACTCTGGGTGAGAGGACGGCCGGCCGGCCGGCTTGCGTGGGCCGCGTGGCCGGGGCCGGGCACTGTGGCTTCGGGGGGTTGGCGATGTGGACGCCACCCAGGAGGGCAACTGTGCCGAGGACCTGGGGGCCGAGCCCGTGCGGGAGGTTGAAAGAGCGGGGGCTGCTCAGCCTGAGGAAGAGACTCCCGCCGGGGGATCAGCGCTGCCCGCCCCCATCTGGGCCCCTTGGCGGGGTTGGACTGCAGCTCCCAGCATTCCAAGGCCCCGGCCGAGCGGGTGGATGTCCACAGGCCCTGGGTGTGCCGGGGCAGCGGAGGGGCTTTGGGCCCGGATCACGGAACGGGGGCGTTCCACACAGGGCCAGGACGCAGGTGCCTGTGCAGGGTGGTGGGTTTCCTCCCGGGGGTCCCCCCGAGACGTGGGCTGGCGGGTCCCGGGGCCCCTTCCAGCGTGGCCCCTTGGCCACGGCTGTGGCCTGGCCGCTCTCCCGTGCCGGCCTCCCCGCGTGCGCAGCCGCAGCGCCATGACGGTGCCCGCTCCCCCCGCAGCTCTTTTGCCCCGACGGGGAGTACAGCTCGATGGCCGCGGCCTTTTTCAACACGCCCGAGAAGAGCGTCGTCCGCCTCTTCCACGACCCTCCAGGTCAGTCGGCGGTGGCTGGAAGGGGGGGAGGCGCCCCGTCCCCGGCACGTTAAAACGAGGCGCGCAGTTCCAGACGGGGGGCCAGATCCAGCCCTCTGGGGCCACCCGGACCCTCCCGCTGTCCCTCCCCACAGCGTCTCCAAGAGCCAGGCGCTGCCCCTGCCTCCTTCCTCCAAGGGCCCGGCCCCGTCCAGGGACTGGCAGGGTGAACGCTGAGCCGAAGGGGCCGGCGGTCCAGCCTGCTCCGTCCCCGTCAGGCGGCCCCGGCGGCTTCCCTGAAGCGGGATCCAGTGGGACCCAGCAGCCCTGCGCCTGAGGCTTGCCGGGCACGGATATGTGTGCGCTCAGCTCTCCCGGAGCCCCAGACCGCTCCGTCACTTGTTTTGTGCCCCGAGGAGCGTCCCCTGTGGGGCTGGAGGGCCTCGCCCCCCCCCCCGAGTGCCTCCAGGCTGGCCAGGCAGGGAGGCCGGTCTGAGCACCCGGCCCCATGTGTGGCCCCCTCCTCGAGGACGGGCTCTGGGGGGCCCGGCGGGGGAGGCGCCCCCTTCCGCCAGCTGCCAGGCGGACGGCCGCCCGTGCCGTTCTCGGCCGCTCCTCGGCTCCCCCCCCCACCAGGAGGGGCCTGCGGGGCGCGGCGTGCGGCCGCGGCCCCTGGTCCAGGCAGCCCCACGGAGCCCGGCACGAGGCGTGAGGCCGTCTCCCCCGGCTCCTTCCAGGCACCTACGACCCGATGACGCTGGGCATGTTCACGCTGATGTACTTCTTCCTGGCGTGCTGGACCTACGGGCTGACCGTTTCCGCGGGGGTCTTCATCCCCTCGCTGCTGATCGGGGCCGCCTGGGGCCGCCTCTTCGGCATCTGCCTGTCCTTCGTGACCAGCGGCTGGGTGAGCCGCCCCTGCTGCTTCCGCCCCTTCCCCTGCGGCCGGGTCTGGATCCGGTCCCCCGCGCTGCCCACAGAGCCCCCCGGGTCACCGCCTGGGGGACCTCACGGGGGGCTGGCGAGGGAGGGTGGCGGGTGGGGCGGGTGGAGGAGGGCGGTGCCTGCGGCTGGGCACGCGCCCCCCGAGCCCCCTGGGAAAGGAGGGAGGCCTTTGGAGGCAGCCGGAGCCCGCCCTCTCCCCCAGGGGCCCTCGGGCGGACGTGTCTCTGCCCCGCGGCCCTCGGTGCTCTCCAGCCCCCGCGGGACGAGCGGCCCTGCTCTGTTCCCGAGGTTCGGGGCGTGTGAAGGGCCGCCTTCACCTCAGAGAAGCCCTGGGGAGAGTCGCTCCACAGTGGCCCGGGCTGAGGACGGAGCAGGGGCGGATGCGGTACCTGCGACCCCCAGAGCTCTGCCAGACCCCTGCCGAGTCCCACCCTTCCAGAACGGGGAGAAGCGGCCCTGCAGTGGGGAAGCAGGAACTGGCCGCGAAGAGGGGCTGGCTGGCGGGGGAGGCCAGAGGGCAGGATGCCCCTAGGCCTGGGGCGCCGCAACCCTGTCGCAGGAGACCCTTCCTCGGGAGGGGCTGGAGCAGAGTGCCTTCCCAGCGCCCCCGTGGCCCTGAAGGCGGTCTGACCGCCCCCTCTTGCCTCCCGGCCTTCCAGATCTGGGCTGACCCGGGGAAGTATGCCCTGATGGGAGCCGCGGCCCAGCTGGGTGAGTGGCAGCCGGCGGGGGGGGAGGGCTGGCACCCTGTGGGAGCTGAGCTGGTTCTGGTTCCGGCAGGGGCGGTCCTCTGGGTCTCCGGACCTTGAGGGGCTCTGGGAGAGCTCCTGCCTGAAATGAGGGGGGGCGCTGGGGCCCGCCTGTGCCACCGGCCGGGACTGACGCAGGCCGTTCCTCCAGGGGGGATCGTGAGGATGACCCTCAGCCTGACCGTGATCATGATGGAGGCCACCGGCAACGTCACCTACGGGTTCCCCATCATGCTGGTGCTCATGACAGCGAAGATCGTGGGGGACTTCTTCGTGGAGGTGCGCAGCCGCGTGCGGCACGGGTGCCGGCCCGGGCGGCTGGGGGGGGCCCGGCTGCTGGCCCAGAACCGCCCCGCAGCCCGCTCTGGGCCTCCCTCGCCGGATCCAGCCCGGGCGGTGCCAGTCGCTGGGGGCTCGCGGGAGGGGCTGGGCTGCCGCCCCCCGGCGCTCAGCGCTGCTCCTGCAGTGAGTCCGCCCCCCGGCCCGGGGGCCCCGCGCTCCCCTGCTGCCCGGGCCGCCTCACCCGTCCGCTCCGCTCCCGCAGGGTCTCTACGACATGCACATCCAGCTGCAGAACGTGCCCTTCCTGCACTGGGAAGCCCCCGTCTCCTCGCACTCCTTCACGGCCAGGTAGGCAGGCCACCGGGCGGCCCGGCGCTTCCAGGCCCCTCCGCGGGGGTCTGGCTGCTGGAGGCCGCTGTGGGGCCGGCGAGCCGGGGACCCGCTGGCGGTCAGCCACGGGGTGGCTCTGGAGGCAGCCGCCCGCCCGGCAGCCCACCGGCAAAGAGCAGTGCGAAAGCCCCCAGGAAGCTCGGGCGGCAGGGCTGCAGCCGGGGGAGCCCTGCTGGGGAAGGAGCGGGGATCCTGGGCGAGGTCCCGGGAGGGGGTGCCTCGGCGTGGGTCTGCGTCTCGGGACCCCCGGCAGGGTGGGGGCTCGTGTAGGCAGGGGACAGGGATCCTGCGGGGGCCCAGGTGCACGTTCCCTCCCCCACAGGGAAGTGATGAGCACTCCGGTCACCTGCCTGCGGAGGGTTGAGAAGGTGGGGACCGTCGTGGACATCCTCAGCGATCCGTCCTCCAACCACAACGGCTTCCCCGTGGTGGAGAGCGTCCCGGGCGACGGCCAGGTGGGTGACGCTGGCGGGGAGCCAGGTGCCGGCGGGGGGCCTCACTTGGCAGGCCTCCGCTGTGTCTCCGGGGACCCCCGTTCAGGCCTCCGGCCGGACTGAGGCCAAGGCGGAGAGCGCGTTGCTGCAGGTTCCTTCGCCGGCTCTCGCGCGGCCGTGGGGCAGACCCTTCATCCCCGCTGGGTGTGCGGCTGTCCGGGACCCGTGGCCCTTTCACAGGCCTCTGGAGCTCGGCAGTGTGGCCGCCCCGTCCGAGAGTAACGCAGCCGCGCCCTGAGGAAGCGGGCAGGGCACAGCACTGGCCCATGGGGCTGGCCAGCTAGAACACAGCCGGAGCGCAGCCCCCCGCCCGTCCCAGCCCAGAGAGCGCGGCCGTGGCCGGGGCCGCCCCCTGGGCAGTCATGGGCAGCGCTGCCAGCCGCCTTCCTCTCCCAGGCTCTTCCTCGCCTCTTCCTCTGCACATGCGCAGGGGGCACACGGACAGACAGGGGAGGAGGTCCCCGTGAAGCCCGCCCCCCCCCCCACCCCCCCCCCCCCCATCTCCAGGCCCCGCCCCTTCAACAGCCCCCTCTCGCTGCAGGTGGTAGGCCCGCGTGGCCTGCTCCTGCTCTCACAGCTGATTGTGCTGGTGAAGCACAAGGTGAGTTCCCGGCACCTCCCCTCTGGTTGGGGGGGGGGCGCCCCTTGGCCACCGCAGGAACATGCCCACCCTGCTGAGGCTGAGCCACTGAGGCGGCGGGAGGGGGCCGGGGGGGCTGCGGAGATGGGGGGATCCCCGGCCTTTGGGAAGTCCATGGGGTCGGGAGGAGGGGGGGACCGGTGGCCACCCGCTGCTCGCCGCGCTTGCCGGGCGGTGGCCCCCGCGTGATGCCCCGCTCGCCCCCCCGCCCCCCAGGTGTTTGTGGAGCGGGCCAACCTGTCGCTGGTGCAGCACCGGCTGAAGCTGAAGGACTTCCGGGACGCCTACCCGCGCTTCCCCCCGATCCAGTCCATCCACGTCTCGCAGGACGAGCGCGACTGCATGATGGACCTGACCGAGTTCATGAACCCCTCGCCCTACACGGTGCCGCAGGTGGGGCGCGGGGGGTAGGCTGGCTCCCCGGGGCCGCAGGCGCGGCAGGTCGGGGCCCGGCTGGCCCCAGCTGGGTCGCCTGGGCTCGCGCCCCCGGTGCTTGGACCGGGGGCCCCCCACCCAGGCCAGGGCGGAGCCGGGCTGGCCCCGAGGGAGGCAGGGAGCGGGCATGTGGGGGGCTTCTTCGGCGGCCTTGCTGCTGGGGGGGCCTTCTGGGCTCGGGGGTCTCGGTCCCTCCCCACTGACGGGGCTCATGCTTCGGTTGCAGGAGGCATCCCTGCCGAGGGTCTTCAAGCTCTTCCGGGCACTGGGCTTGCGCCACCTGGTGGTCGTGGACAAGCACAACCAGGTGGGTGCCTGAGAGCCCGTGGCCCCACCCGGGGCCATGCCCTCGCTGCTTCTGGGGCCAGCAGCCGCTGGCGAGGCTCGCGTTGGGCAGCGACCCCGCCTTGCACGTGGGAGGGCTGGCTGGGCGTCCAGGGGTCCCGCGTGGGGGTCCCGATTTGCTCCCCTGACGGACGGCCGCCATCGACCGGGGGCCTCCTGTTGCAGAGGGTGCTCAGCACGCCGGCGGCTCGGCTCAGGCTCCCCGGGCAAGGCCTGGCACGCCGTGTGCCCGGGCGCAGCTTGGCCGCGCTCGCCCTGCCCCCCCCCCCCCCGGGGGCTCCGCCGCCCCTGCCCCGCCCCCCCCCCCCCCCCGGGCCTGCGTGCGCCTCCCGTGACGGGGCTCCCGGCTCTTGCAGGTGGTGGGGCTTGTCACGCGGAAGGACCTCGCCCGGTATCGACTGGGGAAGGAGGGCATCGAAGAGGTGCCCCTGGCGCAGACGTGACTTCGCCCGGGCTCGGCAGACCTCGGTGTGCGTCAGGGGCGGCCGCCCCAGGAGGCCGAGGAGGAGAGGCCCCCGAGCCCCGCGCGCGCCCGGAACGGCCTCTCTTCTCGTGGCGTCTGGGCTTGGGCTCCCTCCGCGACCCGCCACCTGCTCTCGGCCACATGGAACTGCTTTGGGGCTGCCAGCGGGCTTAGGAGAAGCATCCCGAAGCGGCCAGCAGCAGCTGCCACACACCCGCGCTGGGGGCCCGTGCAGGGGCCCGCCACCCCCCAGCACTGAGCAGGCCCAGCTCTCACCGACCGTGCCTTCCGCGTCTCCTCCGCAGCCCTGGACCGAGCTGGCCTTGTGGTGCAGCGGCCACCGGGCCGTGCTTCCCCCGCACGTCTGGGGTGAAGGCCGCCCCAGCTGCCCCCCACCCGCCTTCCTTCGGGCACTCACCCTCGGGCACGGCAGAAGCGTCCGGCGAGGGGAACGCGTGTCTGCCCCGAGTGCCCCGTGGAGACTGGGGGCCCCCTCTTGGGCCCCGCTGGCCTAGAGAGCCCCGCACAGGAGTCCTCGCGTCGCCGCTTGTCCGGAAGCTCGCTGGAGGACGCTGGCCCCCGTTCTGCTCCGGGGGGCTGTCCAGGCCGCCCTTGCCCTGCCTGGGGCCCCCACTTGGAGAGCTTCCGCCTCCTGGCCTGCAGGCACCCCACATGGACGCCCCTCTCCGTGCCCTGCCTCCCCGCAGCTGCCCTTTCGCCTTGCCCCAGGGGCCGGGGCTGAGGCACCAGCCGTGGCGGCTCCTCTCCCCTTCCCTGCGCCACTTCCCAGAGGTCCCGCTCTGGACGGGCTTCTCTCTCTGTGGGTCTGCAGGGCAGCCGTGGCTAAAGCTGCCTGCTCAGCGGTGGGCCGGATGAAGAGGCCCTGCCTGTGCCCCACCTGCCCCACAGGGCACGTGGGCCTTCTCCTGTCCTCCCAGCCCGGGCCGGAGGAGCAGCTCGCAGGCAGGCAGGCAGGCAGGCAGGCAGGCAGGCAGATGGGTTGCCGGCAGGCCGCATTTGCTGGCCCCGCCCCGCCCGGGCCTGGGCATAGGGCCCCTCCTGCCGCTGCCCCGCTGCCCCCCACGCTTTGCTGGGACAGGCGCCGCTGCCCCAAGGTGCTTCTGGGGCCGGAATAAAAGGAACACGCTGTTTGTACTCTGCTCGCCGCCGGTGTCGGGCCTCCTTCCTTCCGTCCTGCGACGCTTCCGCTGCCAAGCCCGAACCGCTCCCGGCGGCTCCTGCTTTGGCGAGGGCCCTCAGATGTGGGTCCTGGGGTAGGGGCACAGTACTTGTGGGGAGGGAGAGCCCGAAAAGAAAAAGGCTGCACCGATGGCCAGTTGAAGCCAGTCGGAGGTGTGCTGCATGCATCTGACAGGGTGGCGCCGTTTTGTGCCTTTCCCCTCTGGGCTCCTGAGCTTCCTGGCAACGCGATGGCTGGATCCTGCCTCCCAGGCGGTGCCCCCCCCATGTGAATCAGGCTGGGGAGAAACCCCGGGAGGCGTCCCCTGCCTCATCGCAACGGCCCCGGGCTTTGAGGAGGTTCTGGGGGAAAGGCCCTGGGGCACTGGGGGGCCTGGGGGCAAACAGCACAAAGGCCGGGAGGGGGAGCTGTGGGCCCCCAGTGAGGATGGGGCAAGGACTTGGGGCCTTGCAAAGGAGGGCTTGGGGCAGGGGGCTGCCCCCTCTCGGGCATCTCTGGGGCTGGCAGTTTGTCCCCCACCCAGAGGGCCCAGGGCCCCTGGAAGGCCCCCACTGCTGCATCCTGGCCATACCTGTTCCTGCGACTAGGAGAAATCTCACCTGCAGTGGCCTCAAATGCCATATTCTTCAAAGAGCCTGGATGGGAGGTGTGGCTCTGCACGGGGTGGGGGGGGGCCTTGAGTCGAAGAGAGGACAGTCCATCGGAGGCCCGGCTGTGGGCCCCCCATTGCAGCTGGGCAGCTCGGGGAGGCGAGGAGCCCTGGTGCCAGCCCGGGGCTGGCATGGTGCTGGAAAGTGAGGGGCTGCCCCCAGGAGACCCCCCCCGTGCCCCCCCTGGGCAAGGGACAGGAAGGGGGGGGGGAGAAAGGCAGAGGTCACCCGGCAACCGGCCTGGGCTCATTGTGACACGGGAGCGGGGGCAGCGCTGGGCAGGACAGGCGAAGGCCAAAGGCCAGCGGAGCCCCTGCTGCGCGACCCCTCGGAGCACGCCCGGGGGGCACCATGCGCTATGCGTACGGGGCGCTGGTGCTCAGCTCCCTGCTGTGGCAGAGGGACCTCCAGGGGAACGGGCCACTCCCAAGCCGGGCCCCCGGGAAGGGCGGCGATGGGCCGCAGGAGCCCTGCCGAGAGCGGCACCTGCTGCGGCAGCTGCAGAGCGCCTTCTGCGCCCACCCGGGCCTCTGCTGGATCGCCACGTCTCCGTGGGGCTTCCATGTCGTGGGCACAGCCGTGCTCGTCCTGTGGCTGGCGATGGAAAGCGGGGCCTCCTCGGCGCTGGCCGCCCTGCAAGGAAGGCTGTGGCGAGTGGCCGCGCGCTCGGTAAGGAGGTGGCGCCTGGGAGCCACACGTCGCGGGGGAAGCTGCCCGGTGGGTGGTCCCGTGGCCGGGAGGGCGGCTTTGTCTCGCCCTCCCTCAGTGGGGGACCTTGGCCCGCCCCACCCCTCAGACCAGCCTACCTCACCGGGTGGTTGTGAGGTTAAAACGGAGAAGGGGAGGCAGTGCACCCAGCTTTGGGTGCAGAGCACATGGGCGGCAAGTCTTGAGCCGAAAAAGTGAGCACGTTCAGCGCAACGGCCGGCCGTGGAGGAAGATGGGCTGCTGACACGCCCTCCCCGCTCTCCGGGCCCCCTGTGCCACAGCGGGCACCTCCCCGACATGTTACCCCGACATGTTAACGTCTCACCACACACACACACACACACCCCTAGAAATTTCTGTGATGCTCTGATCATCAAGCTCTGCAGGGATCGATCGGGGATGAGGCGGCCACGGGCGCGAGCACGAGCCTGCAGGTCGCCCAAGCCCCGCATGTGCCGCGGGCCGGTCGAATCCAAGCGCCTGTCGCGGCGCGATCCCGAGGTGCTGGGCGCACTGCGGCACGGAGAGCCGCGCAGGCGGTGCGCCACAACAGCCGTTCCGGGGTCCTTTGGCAGCGGCGCGAGGGAGTGGCTCTGCCCGGGCCGTTCTGCACGGGCCGCCCGCCGAGGACCACCTGCTCACCTCCTCGCTCCCCCCACAAGCGTTGGGCTCGATCCAGATCTTCCAGGGCCCCCCCACCCGCATGTGTTACAGTCCTGGTCTGAACCGCAGGGGGAGGGTGGGGATGCTTTACAACAAAACCCGAAAAGATGCCGGGGCCGAGTGGTCGGACGAGGCACATCCTGTTCTGAAGAAGCCCGGCTCAGACCGAGTCCGGCGTTCCCCAGCCCAGTGGCCAGCAGGGGAGCAGGGGAGAAGGCCCTGAGCTCAGCAGGTGAGCGCCCCCCCCCCACCAGGGTAGGAAAGATAAAGGTAACTCCTTAAGGAAACTAGGACACCTTGCCGCTTCCCTTTCCCTCTTTATGCCTCTTTCTGCTTTTATGCAGCCTCAAGCGGGGTCTGAAGCGGAGGGAGAAGCTGGCTTCCAAGCAGCGCCCGCAAACCGTACGTTCATCCCAGCCCCCGTCTGTCCTTGGCTATGAGCCTTTCCCAGATTGTGCTGCCCGTGCTGGGAGGGGCGCAACCTGGTGGCGCTGTGGGTGGGGTGGGGGTCCGGGAAGGCCACCCTCACGCGGACGCCTCTTTACACGGTGGTCCCGGCTGCACTTGCACAGGGCTTCCGCTCCTCCCCCACTGGCTCCCGAGGAGCACCGGACTCAGGATCAGGGCAGCCGGAGGCACCGCTCTTCACCCCAGAGGCCCCAGCAGCTGCAGGCCGGGCGCAGCGGGGGGGGGGGGGGGGGGTTCTCGCCATTAAGAAAGGAGTTGCACCTTCGAGGGAAATAACGCTTTCTGTTCACTGCTCTGTCCTAGAGTGTCTCTGCGTTTGTGGGAAGGAGATGCTGCCTGCACTGGACAGGTGGGTGCCCCCCGCTGCCCCAGGCACACAGACCTGCTCCAGTTGTGTAACAAAATGTTTTCTCTCATCTTCCGCAGCGATGAACAGTCTTGTGAGAGGTGCAGGTGCGCTTCTCAGGTGCATGAAGACCGTGGAAATGGGCATCAAGGTGAAATTTTATATCCAGAACGTATCAGAGATGCTCCTTTGTTGAGCAGTATCATTCTGTGGCACTCCTCTTCCTCGTCTCTGACCTCCTCCTCACCTCCTACCTTGCCGGTGTCCTCCTCATCCTCATCCTCATCCGCCCCTTACCCGACACATTCGGACTCGCCCTCCATTTCGAGAATCCCGGCCACGGCAGCCAGAGACTCTTCCCCAGCAGCGGCAGCTTCCCCAGCTGAGCCGGCAAGCAACATCTGCGCCTCCAGCGCCGAGTCGGACCCTCGCTCCTTGCTGAACAAGAAGTGCCAGAGCCCCCGTCCCCACCCACAGAGAACGAGGCGCAGGCCCCCTCGGGCCTTGCCGGTGAAAGGGAAGCGTAAGCCCTCCCATCTCCCGCTGATCAAGAGGAAGCGCAAACCCTACGCGCCCTCGATGAACGACCAGCCCAAGCCCACCCATGGCCCGCTGCAGGAGGGCCCCGGGCCTCCGCTCAGCGTGTGGCTCCCCGAAAGCAGCACAGAGTTAGACAGCCCCTCCCCTTCACCCCCGGGAGACAGCCCCCAACCTCTGGCGCCCTTCACGCAGATAAATATTTGCCAAAGATCTGCCTATGAAAAAGAAGACCGCATAGTCCTGGTGGAAAAGTCCTTGGAGATCCGGATGGGGCCGGCGCCGCCAGCACAGCAGGACGCCCCCTCCCCACCCCCGCCGATGCTCCCGGACCCAGGCGAGAGGAAGGAGGCGGCTGCCCGGCTGCCTTTGCGGGGCAAAACGGATCCTCGGCGTATTGACAGAAATTTGCAGGGCAAGCTGTGCCTTGCTGGCGCCCGAGAGACATCCATCCTGGACGCCTCTTCTCGGGCTGTGCTGCACCCGGGCCTGCAGACGATCCCTCGGTCCCCTTCCCCCCACTGCGACGTCGAGAGCGTCCCTTGCGTCCTGAATAAAATGGATGACAGAGTCAGAAACCTCCTGGAATTTCATGCCAAAAAGAAGATGGTCCAGAGGCGGTGCGGCATTCCCACCCTCGTGCACACGTCTGTGAGGCGCTTCCAGTCCCTGGAAAACCAGCTGCACGGGCTGCCCGTGTGTGCCCGCGAGAGGCCTGTGGGGAACCGGGTGCCGGTGAAGGCTGCCGGAGCAACACGCCGCCATTCCTCGCCCAGGAGCACCGCCAAGGAGCCCCCTGGCAGCCCCGTGCGGGAATCTCTGAGAAGCACGGACTACGACATCCTTCACCCGGCGGAGCCCAAGGAAAGCAGGAGGCCTTCCCACCTGCTGGTGAAGAAGCTGGGCACCAGCAAGGCAGCCCAGTGGGGGACGGGAGAGCCGAATATCCTCCTCTCCATGCAACCGGACGAGCTCAGGCGCCTTCTCTTCCACATCGCTGTGAAGATGCTAGAAATCAAAAGAGGGGCCTTCCCAGAGGTGGTCGAAAACTCCCTCCGCATCTTCAGCCTGGCTTCTGCCTACCCGCTGCCGAAGCTGCTTCGCGTGGGCATCAGGGTGCCGAGGCCCAAGCACCCCCTGCTCTCCTTCATCTCCGGAGAGGCCCTCTGCCTCATTGACCTCAACATCAGGCACAAGCACCTCGTCCACATGTGGAAGCTCCCCACACTGTACATGAAGTCCGTGGCAGAGATGACCTTTCGGCAGTCACAGGCGGGCCGCAGCGAGCCCCCTTGGAGCGCAGGGAAAGGCCTCCCACGCCCTCCGTGCTCCCCCCTGCCGGCTGGTTCCCAGAAAGCACAAAAAATCCATGTCCAAGGCCTTCCAGGTGAGATTCCTGCTTCTGAGGGCCCCCCAGAACACAAGGCGACCCCCCAGGAGCCTCAACTCCAGCTACACATACGCATGCCCAGGGTGGGAGAAGTGGAGATACAGCCAGAGGAAGGATTCTCTAGGGGGGTTCTCCCTCGGCCCCCAGATGTGGAAGGAGCTGCAGCTGGTGCCGATGGGAAGGGAGAGGGAAATGAG